TTTTTTTTTCTTTCTTTTTTTTTTTTTTTTGGTATCACTAACTTGATAATTAAAAATATCCCAAATCATGAGAGAATGTGTATTCGTGTCTGCTGATGTTATTTATACCATGAGTCTTCAACGTTTTAATTGCTTATTTTTTATTTCTCTGACTTTGGAAGTTCTCTCAGCAGAAGCAGGGTGCAAGAACTGTGCTTGGGCCAAATTCCAGCCTGGAGCCCAGGCCACTTGCTTGACCCCACTCAGTGAGAGGATCAGGTGCCTCCACACGCTGCAGGCTCAGTTGGCCTAAGAGTGCATCTCAACATAGCAAGGGAAACCCTATCCGGAGGCCACGTTCTTAGTAGGTGCTCAGAAAGTATTTGTTGGTGGACTGATGGATTTCGCATGACTTATTTGGTCCCAATTTTCTCTGCAGTTTTACTGAAGTGCATGTAGCCATTCCTCATACTTGTAAAAAGAGAAGAGACTCAAAGATCTTTATTATGGAGTAAGAGTTTAAAAATACCTATTGGTGCACACATCAAACACTCTGGAGGTTGTATATGTGAGTAGTGTTTTAAATATGTGTTGCTTGATTTACAAACCAGTCTGTTTGACATGATATTTCCTTGGAAAAATCCAAGTGAGTGAGCAATACATATGATTTAAAATGCTTAATCATGCAGAATGGATCTTGGGAGTCCCAATTATGTGGGTATCTTGCTGTGTTTGCTTAGGTTTTTAAAAAATTTTACTTCTAGCATGTTGGTTTGGAAAGAAGTATTGTACTCATTAAAAAACATGACATGTGAAAGAAGTTCTGTTAGATATTTAATGCCAGTTATATCACGAAGATATATAACTCTGCTATAATTCATCAAACATCTAGCATTCAAAGCTGCATTGCTTTTAACAGTACCTAGAGAGAGACATGAGCATGTTATTGAGTAATTCTACCATGAGAAATCAGGTAAGATATAGCAAGTGTATACTCTCCTTATTTTCAAATTAGTTTTAGTGCCTTTACATTTCTAACAAAATATCTTTTCTCCAACACTTGTAAACAGATATTAGTAGAAGATTAGTGTTAATTTTAAAGTCAACTTTAATGTGAGAATGGAATTAAATAGTAACTCTCAGATACATATTAACCTCATGGGAGATAGATAAAGGTAGCCCTGGTTTCAGGGAAATAGCTGTGATTTTGAAAGCACTGTGCAACTTAAATTTTTGAAAACTGACTCATTATATAAGAACTTTAAAGACTAATTCTTAAAGGCTTTTTATTATGAATTGTCTGGGTAGTGAACAGGCAAGCTGTAATTTGTTTCCTTTTAATATCAGGAATCTGTGTATTATCTTTGCATATGTGTATCTGCATGGGTTTAAAAAATATTGATGTCCAGTTTTTCAAAAATTAAAAATAGCCACTCTTGTAGCTATAAGTTAATTTTAATATTTTTCAGTAGCACCAGTTGAAAAATAGAATGTAAAAATTTTAAGAATTAAAGTTTTCTTTTTTATCTTTCAAATCTTGTGACAGGCAAAATATGGATAAATAGCCGCATTTTTCATCTCATCCCTGGTTCTGCCATTGTCTCATTCTTTTCTTTTGTGATGTATGTTTCTCCTTATAAAGTAGCTGTTAAGTGAAAGCATAGACTGTTTTTTAATTATTGATAATTAATGTTGTCTTAATAATCTTGTGAGTTTTTGATCACATCACAGATAGTTTGAGACCTTCGAAAAGTACCACCAGTTCCAAAGTGGGAAACTATAGAGTTTCTTCAAAAGGAAGCCAGGTTCTTATGCCTTGTAAAGTCTTAAACAGCTGCATTGGTAGTATATGATCAATAAAGTGTCTAAATATCATAAATATCAGTTCAGTCCTCCACTGAAAATGTCTAGAAAATATGCAAAATTAGACAAAAGGTGACACTCAGTCCTAAATTGTGTGTACTGTAGGAAGGAGACTTCAGATATGAAAAATGTTTCCTAAATCTGAAATATTTTTGCCTTGTTATCGATATTACATGTTAACAAAGCAAATATATTATCTAAAAAGTAGGAATTTGAAAAATTTAGGTGGGGAAATGAAAGCTAGTTCCCTCATCCCGTTTCTGTCCCCAAGGCAGAGCCATGGCATGGCCTAACTGCTCCTGTCTGCTGCTCTGTATAATGGAGGCTGCAGCCATTCAGGAGCATGCTGGGCAGAGCCTGTGGTTACCAAGGTTGGCTGGTGGAACACCTTGCATTCATTGGGCTTGTAGGCTGCATTACATCCTGTGTTTTAGGAGGCAGGAAAGATAGCCAGGACTTTAGCTGCAACATGAAAAATAGCCTGAATAAGACTGATCCCTTAGAAGCAAATTGTTTGAATAATTGTAAAACTAATTATCACGACTGATTAGGCCGGCAGGGATAGAAAATGAGTTACCATGACCCAAGTCTTTCTGATATGGACACTGGAGGATAGGAGTCAGTCTCTGGCATGCAGGTATTGATAAGAGAAGATAGGAGTTTGCCTGTGGCTTATGGCATTTTCAGAGTTCTGGCATCCTGGCAAATTTCCAAGTCTTTTTCGTTGAGATGGTATAGACCAGGAAGAGGCAAAATTGGCTCTTGGGACCCACAAGATGGTGTTGCTCTAGTAAATTCTATTATCCAAGCTCCAAAGGGCTGCACTTCTTTGGGGTGACTCATTCTGCCACCTCAGAAGACCTGAAAGGTAAACTCTATGTCCTGCATGTTGAGATGCAGCAAGAGTGGAGCAAGGAATAACACACCCAGACCCATGGCTAAGCATGTGTACTGTGACGTGCTCGACAGCTTAGTGTGGTGCCTGCACAAACAGGCTCACTGTAAACACTAATGGAATGGAATGACATTCCTCAAATCTAACTAACATGACAGCTTTAGTTCCTGTTTCACTGTTTGGTAAGTCATTTCCAGCCAAGAAGCTCAGACATAGTATCTCATAAGAGAGTAACTACTAAGCTATTTATTGAGGATATATCTTCTAAAATTTGTTAAAATGATAATTATGGTTATGATTGTTAACCATTTGTTAATATATGGTCATGAGGGTTAGCTGTAGTATTTGTTTTTGGAAAGGAAGCCAAATTTTAGCCCATCCATTGTGTTTTATCAATTATCATGATATTTATATTTAAGGATAAAAACGCATATTTACCAGCACATAGAAATCTTAGTTCTGGCTTAGTTATTAAACTCATAATTCAGGACATATTTCTGAATTCAGTATGTGTTTCACCAGAAACTTCTGATCATAAAAGAGCAATAATCTGTTGTCCAATTGTATGTCTTAGAGGATATATGGGGTAGGGTAAAGGAATCTTCTTATCTTAAAAAATTTTCTTTTTAGTTGATGAGGCAAAATAAAATTCAGCAAAGTCCATTTTTAAGATGAATAATTTGGGTAACAGTGAATCCCAACTAAATGAGATGAAAAAAATAAAAATTTAAGAAAATAACAGATTGCCTCTAGGTTATTATATACAGTAAGAAAGGGGGTTTTATACCTTTCTATGTAGGTATGATTAATCCAAAACCTGTCATGAGTTCGAATGTGGTATGAGACAACCAGATATATTAAGAGAGTAAACTGAGTAAGATAAAATTGTCTGGTGTGAGGTATTAGGAGGGCAGGCCCCCATGGTGTGCACCAGACTGAAGGGACTAGTCCTGGACAGACAGGTCTCTCCTGAGTTCTGTCTGGCTGTGAACTTGGGTCAGTTACACGAGTAGCTGGCTTTCTGTCTGCAAAAGGAGGAGGCGGCGGCAGGCAATCCGTGTATCCCCAAATGGGCAAAGGAGGGTCCTGGAGCTTCGCAGAGGGCAAGGTGAAAAGGGTGGACAGAAGCGTGGTCTGAGTCATCCCTACATTTAGTGCACACGAGCCGTGTAGGTGTGACTGGAGCCAGAGGGTTTTGGTTTTGTTCTTAAAGTTAGTTTCAAGTCTTAGGTTGTCAAACATTTGGAACAATCATAGCTTTAGGGTACACACTGTGTGTCCTTTATAAAGTGAGGGAGATACAGTCTCAGTTTTGAAAGTTTCTCCTGGTTCCAACAACCAAAAAATTATTTTGGATGAAATCTTAGAGCAGCAAATATTTTAACCTAAATTATATTATTTCAGTGGGGATTTAGCTCAGTGGTTCTGCCGCCTGCCTCGCAAGTGCAAGGACCAGAGTTCAATCCCTGGTACCAAAAAAACAAACAAACAACTAGACTAAATTATGTTATCAAAATGTTTTATCAGATATATATCTGCATTGAGTGAGTGAAATGAATTAAATATTGTTCAAATGTAGAAAATAACAATATAGCAGAAATAATACTGGAGTCTGAATAGATTTCCAAATTAAAAGATTCAGTATGATGAGTATTTCTCTAACAGCAAAGCAGTTTTTAATAAATAAGACCTAATTTTAATGATCTCCCTTAATTTCTGTTTCCTTCTTATAAGAAAAAATATGTTACAAGTCTTCATTCTGCTGTTACTATAATGGTCATGTTGTTTTTGAGAAAAAGGATAAATTTCTTCCCCGGCAAGTTCTCCAAGAGACATCCAAGAGGAAACATGAATATTTCATTAGTTCAGAGTAGTCTCAAATAGCAGAAAGACCATCTTTCAATGGTTTAGGGTGTCCCTTAGTATGGATTTTAGAAAGTCACTCATTTTTGCATCTGTCTGCTTCCAAAACTTAATATGTTCTGTGCTTTAATTAATTCAAGACAAAGTTTTAGAAAAATTCAGATCAATCAACAAGAGTAACATTTTCCAATCTTAAAGTCAAGACTTCAATAGTATGAGAGCAAGTTTAGAAAACATTTTTATTAGACAAATTATGTAGACAAATTATACACAGAAAGCTCTGCCACTCATAACTGAGGCCTCCAAAAATGTTTTGTGTATTTGTATAATAGGCAATACATCAAAATAAGCCTATTTTAAATATTGTACATGGTTAACAGTTTGATAGCTAAAATCACTGCAACATCTGGTATGTCCCTATATAGCTTGTTGTAAAGATTTTTTTGTTTGTTTTGTTTTGTTTTAAAATCGGAGTTGTGAATGAGATCATGAATGTTACAAGGGAAAACAAGTTGTGCATGCACTTAGGTACTTGTTACCCTGGAAACAAAATGGTTTTTGCATGATAAGAAGGTTTTCTGCCTTACACAGTAGACAATATTTGAAGATTTAGTACAAAAACAGTGACAGTACGAGATGCTCCCCAGAACAGAATTAGCATCAAAATATAATATACCTTAAGAATATACCTCTTAATTTCTCCTAAAGCAAATCACGTAGGTTGATTCCTATATCAATCCTAGCCATGGAATGAATTCGATTAAAATAAGTGTATGGCTGCATCAAACACAGGATAAGTTCTTGCTTCCTACTTATCACACTTTAATTTAAGGATTACAAACAAAGTTCATTCTACATTTCTAACAGATAAGAATGCTACTTTAAAAGGGTCGTGCACAAAGAGGCACCGTTTTTGCTGTCATTCTTCTATACAGTTGGCACTAATGTAAAAAGTACGTAACTCCTCCGAGTAGAACTGAACAAAAAGGGGGTTCAGATGAGAGCCCACTATGGTTGTTACCTTTTTCACCAGGATAACGTATGACATAATTAAGGCCACATCAATACATCTTTAGGGTTCCCATTGCTCCCCAACTGCAGTTGTACTGATCGGCTTACTGCTTTGGAAGAGGATTTTTCACCTTCGGTGAGCTACCTTTAAATTCTTCTAGAGCTCTATGTGCTGTAGGGGAGGCGATTCAGCTAATAGCATTTTCCAGTTAGGTAGTTAATTAAAAGCAAAATTATCAAGGTTAGCTTTATACATCGCTGAATAACAAATGCCAAACCTACTCAAATGAGTTACATCTGGGAACAAATATTAAGTCACCCGGGATGTTTTTAATAACAAAAGTATAAAATATTCTCTGTTGGCAAACAATGTGCATCAGAATAACCTTAAAGCAGCCTGCCTTTTCTAACTGAAAAGACCTCTGGCACTATACATAGCTCCTGTATACAATACTTTTTTTTTTCTTTAACTAAAGCTTTATTAAATGAATTGCAATAGCAATGGCTGCCTTTATATATATATACACATCATATAGGTGCATATATATGTATATATAGGATATACTAAGTTATTTAACACAATAGAGGCTTCTGCCATATGATAAAGTTTACTGTACATAAGAAAAAACTTTTAATACTGTACAATCACATAAAGGTCATATGCACTGTTGCAGTGCAAGAGTAGTTTTAACTGTAGTCTTGACTGGCATATTAATGGCTTTTTTGTAATCCTAGAAAATTGCATTCCCGTATTATGTGGCCTGAATGGTCTCTGAATTGTCTTATGAACACTGCAGGGTCGCCTTTGGTCCACAGTTAAAGGACACGCAACAGTGGAGCGTTGTATGGGTGCAGCAGAAGAGTGTAAAAAGGCTGAAGTTATTGCAATTATATTTTTAAAAATAGAGAAACATTATGTAAGAGGCCTTTCCGTAGAATTAATCCTGCATATACTCCTGGTATACTCAGTGCACATTTCCTATACTTGAAGTACAGTATATGAAAAGCAGACTAATAGGACCCTAGTACACTATATTCTGGGGGAAATGGGTTGAGTAATGAAACAAACGGAAGGAAATTTATGAGAAGGGAGAGGAGAAAGAGAAAGAAACACAGGAGAGGGAGGAGGGAGAAAGTGGGAAGAAAGAAAGAGAATTGTTACTAATAATCCTAATTTTAAAAAAAGTTACATCCGTGTTAGTCCCACAAGATTACAGCGCTCCTCCTGGCCGAGGGAGTCCTAAGAAGAAACAGCAAGGAGAACTTTGCGGCTCATATGGAGGTGCCTCGGTCGGGGTCGTTCCCCAGATTGAGCCCCAGGGTGGGAGTCGGTTGATAAGGAATAGATGACATTGTTTTTATTGGACTCCTGAAAAAGCCCCCATTCGGAGCCCTGTGCCTAAAGGGGCCAGTCCGGTGCTCAGGCACGTTGCCAAAAGCGAAGCCAGAGGCAGCCTTAGCGGACAGTGTGCGGCTGAGAGTCTGGATCTGCTCTGGGATAAAGGTGGTGGTGGTGATGTGAGTGTTCCTGAAATCACTGATCTGCTCCAGGGCTTGGCGTGTAGGCAAAGTGTCAATGTCCAGAGGGGTCAGGTCAATTGACGAGGTGGAAAACTGTTTATGGGGGCTGTCGTCATCTGTGCACAAGCTATTTACACGTCTATGGAGGTGCTCCAGG